TGGGTGGTACCTTTTATTGGACCACTAAACATCAAATAAATGGCCAGCTTTCATGGGAAAAAATCCAACTTTTCAGGCTTAGCACAATCCCTTCAGAAAAACTGGGGACCTCACGGCCTTTTCCTTTTTGTTTTCCAGTGGAAATGTATTGCCATGCTGAGTAAGCGAATACAGTATTCACTCAATGATGGGCACAGTTTGAAAAAGTACACCTCCACAATAATACAGGATGCAGCTATCAGCATTGTGAACATCCTGATCTTGTCTGAATTTGTAAACTAACCAAGGTTGATCTGGTTAGTACTTAGATGGGAAGTTAGCACGGAATGAGTATCAAGGGCCTCTAGGCAGAGCCAGGAAAGAATTGCCCCTGAAGCCATGGAGAACTGCTAGACAAATATATTTCTGGGTTTTTTTGTGTGTGATTTAACTGCAGTAAATTCTTGATAAATGTAGGATTTAAGGCTGCTGAGGTAATTTATCAATATTCCATTTAGGTTAATCATGGCTTGTCTTCTAAATTAGATTAAAACAGGTTTGGAGTCATATCTTCTTTTAACTAGAAGCTGTTGTCAGGAAAATAAATAGAAACTAAAAGTCTAGAGCAGTGATTCCCAACTTTGAGCATGTGTTCTTGAACTACAATTCCCAGAAGCTTTTGCCACCAGTTGTGCTGGCTGGGGATTCTGGGGGTTGCAGTCCTGGGTTACTCAAGGTTGGGAACCACTGGTCTGATTCTTTATCCCATAATATATACAGTATATTCAGTCTGTCACTAGGTAGTGACCTGACAATGCTCTCTATAAAATCAATCCGTCTGTCCGTCCATTCAGTCATTGGTTTATTTTTTTTCAGGAAGCACAGGACCTGCTTTCTCTTTAGGTGTATGATTTTATATATTTATCCCTCATCATGCCTCACCATTGGCTAGATTGGATAGGTTGGTCAGAATTATAGTTCAATAACATATGGAAAGTGTTCGCCTACTTTAAAGGGTAGAGGGCTCCAACAATGGGTTTTTTCCCCCAGTCTAAAGGTATTAATGAACTGTAGGAGTTTCTCTGCGACTTGAGAGGTTGTAGAACAGCGTTTCTGGAACTGTTGGGGAAAATGGTAGCCTGAATCCAGATGGTAATATTAACTAGACTAGACATTTGGTGAGCTGAGCTCATTTGGGAAGTCTGCTCACTTTCTGGTCAAGGGTGGCTGGATAGTCTAGCTGCAGAATACATGAGATTTACATAAATGTTGATCTGCTGTTCAGCAGTTCATTCTGTGGTATTATTCTAGCTGAGATGGCAAGGGGATTTAAATTTTAAAATTTAAAACTAAATCTGTAGAGGACTTTTGCAAGTCTGTTCTTTCATAAACCTTTAAAGTTTATGTGATGTCCGCTCATCTTTTCTGTTAGATGGAGTCTTCCAGAATGGCCTTTCTTGGCTGCGTGCTTGCCTTCCTTTCTGACCCATCAACTGGTTACCCAAATGGAAAAGTGAAGGAAGCCTGCAATAGTATGATGCCTCTCCACGGACATGTGCCTCAAAAATTTCCAAAGCACACAGCTGAAGTAAATGTGACACAGTTTAAACCGGGTGAACACGTGAAAGGTATATTTGTTGCCTTTTGTGACGAGAAAGAAAGGTTTCCGTCTGGTGGTGCTTCCTCCATTGGTTAGTTGCAGAAGTGATAGTGGTGTTATAAAAAGCTTAGACCAACAATTCCAAATCCAAAGTTCTACCTAGAGCAAAATATCCATTCTGTTGTCCTGTCCCTGGAAGTGTACTTCAGTTAGGTTTGGGGAATTGGGAAGTCTGCTCCCTTCTGCATTAGGGTAGTTGGATGGTTGAACTGTTCAACTGGTGATTGGTGACATAAATGACTTTTTTGGACTGCAACTCATACGGTACTCTGGCCAGAAGGCTCATTGGTCTTGATGGCTGGATTACAATAGGAACTGTAGTACCAAAAAATAAAATAATAATAATAATAAAAAAAAACATTACCCATCTGTGTTGCCATGCGTTCCCTTATTTCCTGTTCTTATGGTAGTCACAATCATAGAACACAGCAAGCCAGGAATCTGGAGGACTCTTGGTTTACTGTGAGTAAGCCGTGTGTTGGTGCATACTATCTAATGACTCCAACTTGCACTGGAAGCTTTGCTCCATCATGTATTATTGTTTTGTTGAATCCAGGGGCGGCTTATTCCTCTGCCTATTCCTTCCTCCCCCAACAAACCAGAGAAGAAATCAGTAATGAACCTAAAACAAACTATGGGTTCTTTCTCTGATTTGTTGGGAGATAAAGTCATGTAATACTTGTATGGATACTTAACACAGTACTTAACTACTGCCCATGCAGCTGGAGAGTGATCTGGCAGTATGTATTGGGTAAAGACTACCTGGGGAAACATATTGTGTTGGTATATTGAAAAGGAAAAAGTTGCAAGAGAGAGAGAGAGAGAGGGAGAGGGAGAGGGAGCACATAGGAAGGATGGACGGTTGTGGCCTTGAAGATATTGTTGACTTGGGACTCCCACCAGCTTTTGCCAGTCATAAAGGATTATGGGACTTTCAGCAACAGTATTTGGAGGGGCACAATTGGGGGAGGGAGGCAATGTCTAAATCAAGTGTCTAAGTGGTGCGTGCAAGGGTATATACTTATGAGAGAATGCAGAATTGCCTCAGGATACATTTTTAGCTACTTATGGCTTTGTAGCCACAAGGAGCATTTCAGGCATGAGTTGTTAAAGGATATACATTTCATGTGTCTGTACTTGTTGCCAAAATAACCAACCTAAGATTGATATCCATTTCTTTTTGTCTTCCTTTTGGTTTCAGTGACCTTGTCTGGGCCTACGTTTGAAGGCTTTTTCCTACAAGCCCGAGATGCTGAGAATTTGGAGGGGGCTGCCATTGGCTCTTTTGTACTGGCTGACAAGAAAAGATCACAGCTTCTTACCTGTGGGCATGTAAAGGTAAGGGATCATGATGGATTTAGGAAAGCATGTATATTTAGAGAAAGCACATTAATCACAGTGTTTACTGTATATGCTTGCTTTGCACCAATATGGTAGGGGAAAGTAAAATTAAAAATTCTGTAAATATATTGGTTTTTTAATAAATACTGTCTATGAAAAAGCTTATAGAGGTTTGATTTTGGACTTAACACTGGCTTTATAGGCAATTCTTAAAGCAAATATTAAATCCCCAAACCGCCCCCCCCCCCTGCTGGTGCCTGCAGATAGAAGTGGTGAATTAAGCCATTCAAATAGGCTTGGGAAAAGTGATCATCAGATGGCTCAAGTTATAATATGTGGGGTTTGGTTTTTTATTTTTTGCCCTTCCCTTAATAGCTTCCACATTTTTAGGAGTACAACATCTGCAAGCTCTATTTAACATGAGCAGTGGTTGAGGATTATGGGATTTGTTCTCCAAAATATAGCACATCAGGATGAACTTATGGCTGGCTTGTTTTCTGAGTCACCTCTGAGGAGCCAGCATTCAGATAGGCGGGATATAAATTAAATAAATAAATAAAAATAAATGAATGTGTCTGCTATGTTCTTCTTGACAAGTTGTTTAACTTGGTCCCACTTCAGAGTAAGGTTAGATGGTGTTGGCTTAATCAGTCTACTTCTGATCTGTGCCTGTTTTGCGTGTGTTTATCAGTTTGCTTCATCCTGTTTCTACCCCAGTCTGTAACTTTAAAAACAATTCCGTATTTAAGTACCTATCTGGATAGATTTTTCTCACAATATGTGCATTTCTAAACATCCATTTCAGTTCATCATTGAAGCAGAGAGCTGCCTTTCTAAAATTCAGAGAAGAGCAAAATGTGAGAATAGCTGTGTACTGGATCAATAGGTTGAGCAGGAAATGTGATTCAAAATTGTTTGGTGCCAAATGCAGATCAAAATTCTTAAGCAGCTTTAGGATCAGAGCAGGCAACTTTCAACTCCTTCAAGGTTTTGCTAAAATACAGTGGGGTCTTGACTTGAGAACTTAATCCGTATTGGAAGGCGGTTCTCAAGTCAAAAAGTCTGTAAGTCAAGTCTCCATTGACCTACAGTGCATTGAAAACCGATTAATCCCGTAACAGGCCGTTTTTGTTCCATTTTGGTTTTTTTTCTGGTCTGTAAGTCAAATCTCAGTCTGCAAGTCAAACCTAAATTTTGCGGCCAGAGAAGTCTGTAACTCAAAAAGTCTGTAAGTCAAGCCGTCTGTAAGTCAAGGGTCCACTGTAATCTGGAAAAATGAATGCAAATGTATAGTTTTAAACTTCAAAGTAACCTTAAACCAGAGGTAAATGTTGCTAAAATTCCCATGGCCCCTTATGGCCCATGTGGGGTGGAGCTGATAGGAGGTGTCAGGGCTCCAATTTCACTTGCAACATTTTGTGGAACTGTTTGATGCATGGCTGGATGAGGGGGGGAAGCTAGGGCCCAGGTCTTCTTAGACACTCAGTAGAGGCTACTTTGGACAAGTTGCTTTTCTTCATCGGGATGGCACTGGAGACAATTATTATCAAGGGAGAATTTTTTCCTTTTGGTTTTCAAATCTATACTGACATACTACACCTTCACAACTGTGATGGATAAAAATGTGGCTTGCGTTTGGCCATGTTGGCCATATACATGACATAGAAGAGGAGACGTTTGCACGTTTTGCTGTGTAGTGCTAAAATGGGCCTTCTGTACATTGCAGAACTCAGCTGTCAGCCACACAAGTAAATCTAAGAAAACCCAAGTGGTTGCCTATTGGATTGCTCCACAAAACTCACCAAAAAGAATACAATTTCTGTAAGTACATTAGAATTATGTAGGTATGCGTTCTCTATTGTTAGAGCTGTTTTCAACGGTAGTTGTGTCAAGACTGTTATAACACGCATAGGAAAAATATAAAACTAAAAACTAAACAGATTTATTCCAGTGAGTTTTTCTGGGCAACAGTCTATTTCCTTAGACTTTTAGAGTGAAATATTTAGCCATAGGTTTATGTGAAGGAGTTGCAGAGGAAAAGGAGAGAGGACAGAGTGAGCTGTCCCCTCAAACCAAGACGACTGAGACAAAAGGAGAAATGGAGTAAGTAGGGATAATGGAAAGTGAAGAGTCAAATGTGGAAGAGGAGAAGGAAAGGAGAAAGAATTGAAATATGACAGAATGCGCGGGCTGTTAGAAGATTTCCCTAATTTAAAGTAGGAGGACTACTACCTAATCCAGAGAAACCTAAAGAGAATGGTGGATCCACTAGAATGGACTGTCGTGGTTTTTCCGCGGGGGCAAGGTCCCTCGAAGAAGGTGATTCGTCCAGACTCCACCTTCAACAGTCTTTGACCAGAAGGAGATTGGGCCAGACATCCCTGCTGTGGGACAGTTAGCACGGTCTGGAGTGCTCCTATGAGGAAGCCCACAGATCGGGAATGCTTTGGGCCAGCCCCACAATGAATCTTGTTAGTTCTGAACAAGATAGTTAGTCTCCAAAGTATGGACAGTTACCAGATGTTGATTTGTTTGAACCAATAGAAGTTGTTATTGATTCACCCAATGTTAAAACGAATAAAACCTTTAATGTTCAAGAAGAGATTCAGTTGTCATTTCCCACCAAAAAAGAGGAACTACTCCAGCTCTTCAATGAACCCAATCACAATTTACATATGGCATAGATTCTTACTACTTAATAAAGTAAGTAAGGTATACATTTTGTAGGTGAGGACCAGTAAAAATCAGTACAGGCACAGAAAATGATATTTCAAAGTTACAATGGCACTATTAACACAGGTAACAAACTCTGAGCATATGGATTACATCAAGATCCTGACCAGTAAGGATGTTTTTTTCTATTATGACAGTAACAAACAGGTATTAAAGGTATATTGTTATGTGCCATCAGGTAGCTTTTGATTTTTGGCTACCTTTTGCATTAAGGACCCCCAAAAGGTCTTGTTGTTAACAGTTCTTGAGTCATGTACAGTTTTGTTGAAAATAGTTAAAAGATGGCTTTCATCTTGTCTCTAGGGTCACAGTTGTAGAAAAATATAGCATCTTTTGGGTAAAAATTCCTGGTCCTGTGATTTCCCAACCTAATACACCTATCTTGACAACAACCATGGCTGCTAATGTAACCCTTCCTACATCTCTAACTCAAGTGGTAAGTAGTAGTCGGCTCATAACAGTTGTTTAGAGGCTAAAATTAATGTCATTTCCAGAAAATCCTATCCAAGACTGTGGTCCGAGAAGAGTTTGGTGTCCAGTCACACATTAAGTTCCTATGCATCATATACATTTTAATGTTTGGTCTCATACTGAAGTCCTGTCTCAGCTGCATATTCAATGACAATAGAGTTATGCATGTATTTGCTCTGAACATGCTGCCACAAACAGGTGGCTCTTTAGGTATACCTCAAATACCGATCTGGACGCTGGTGCATGGTGTATAAGCCTCTAGTGAAGATATTAGCAGGATGGAACTTGGTGGATGGATGCTATTTGTTTCTGCTAACAGCTGTGTTCTCTGTGCATAACATGACTGGTTCTTACCTTACCAAGTCATATGCCTTGTATATGACTTGGAAGGATTTAAATTTTTTGTGTGTATTTAATTTTTTATGACTTGTAGCTATAAACAGATACTGTATAGGTGACCTGAAATCCCATGTTTGTATCTATTTTTCCTGCCAGATAATGCAGAAATACATACCCAACTCTATGTAGAACAGAGTCATTTTTTAAAAAAGCATCAGACTGTCACCCAACTTTTATACCTTTCTGTTCTCTTTTTACTAGCAGTTATGAGTTAGATCAAGTGTTTCTTTTAACTTCAATGGAATTTTATGTGCTTACTATGATTCTTATAATTTCTGAAACATGGCTGTTGACTCCTTAAATACTGGGGAAGGGAAATGTTTTAAAATGCTTATTTAAAATGCCTCTGTGCATTTAGCCAGGAAAAAATATATAGAGAGAACAGAATTGTGCTGTCCTTAAACAAAAAGGTCCCTATGGATCCTCCCTCCACCTTAAAGCTTTATGGGGTTTGTGTAATTATCTAGAACAGTTTAGGGTGATTCAAAAAGCCTTTAATTATATTCTTGATAATGCAACATTTTGAACAATCAACAATTAAGTGTCTGACTAAGACAAATGTGGGATTGTTGTGTGCATCCGAAATTATAGGCTTCCAATACGGTGCTAATCAAGTGCCTCTTTTGTATAGGATGGTGGATTTGAAGCTTGCAGCTTGATAATAGCTAGGGGGAAAGGAACAATAATTGGTAGGTAGAAAATTGTGGGTGTGAAGAATGTGCTTTTTATTAAATCTGCTACTGTGCTAGCTGGCATTGTGAAAATATGTGATTTCTCAACCAGCGACCCATGAAGTAAAGTAACCTGCCTTCTTGTCTCCTTAGTTCAATGCTTCAGAATGTGGAACTAACAAATTCTGCGTGAGAAATCCTTGGAGTTGTGATCCTAAGGCCGAGGATTGCTTCTTTCTTTCCTTCAGACATGATCATCCTGACTCGGTGATGGTTGAAATGAGTGGTCCTAGTGAAGGCTACATTGCATTCGCATTGTCTGATGATCAGTGGATGGTTAGTAAAATTTAAACAAATGTATTGGATTTGTGTCACACATTTCTTCTATGAATATGTATTTTTGTTGTTGTTTAGTCATTAAGTTGTGTCCGACTCTTCGTGACTCCATGGACCAGAGCATGCCAGGCCCTCCTGTCTTCCACTACCTTCCGGAGTTTGGTCAAATTCATGTTGGTAGCTTCAATGACACTGTCCAACCATCTCATCCTCTGTCGTCCCTTCTTCTCTTGCCTTCACACTTTCCCAACATCAGAGTCTTTTCCAGGGAGTCATCTCTTCTCATGGGATGGCCAAAGTATTGGATCTCATGATGTTAAATATATTTAAGGCTTGTTTCTTGTGAGCTGATTTTGAAATTCTACAAGTGACATTTTCTATTAAGTTGCTGCCAGAGTTCAGAGCTACCTTCTACTTGTGTGTAAAGGTTGAATGTACAGTAATATGTTTGGTAGCCTGGAGATGACTGAATCCTTATATGGTTAGCCTGTCAATCTTTGGCATGAGCTATTTGAATTCCTTTTTCTTGACTGAATAATTAGGGCTTGTATGGACCTGGAAAACATAACTTCCTGGAAGTTCAATTTATTAATATACTGACCTTATTTGTAGGGAGGTGGTGATGATGCATATCTCTGCATCAGCGAAGATCATCACATTGACATCAAGACAGCTTCTTTGGTGGGACGAACTTATCCAGAGTTGGATTCAGAGGTATTATAATTCCATGGGCATCTTGTTACAGAGTATGAAGTTCTTGCTACAACACATTTGAGGGGTGGGCAACCGTGGCCCTCCAGATGTTGTTGCCCTAGTACTCGCATAATCTCTCACTTTTTGGTATGGCTGTTGGAAGCTGTGGGCCAACCACATCTGCATAATCTCTCACTTTTTGGTATGCTGGTTCAGGCTGTTGGAAGCTGTGGGCCAACCACATCTGGATGATCATGGTTCCTCACCGGCTCTGAACAGAGAGCTAGGATGCCAAAAGGAATGCTCTTAAATGTTCTTGAATACTTTTGGCTTTGCTCTAATCACTTGAGATGTCTACACATTAAGGTTGTGTGGTCTCTGATTTATTATTTCACATGCCATGGAAGACAAATACATACTGAAAGAATCAATGTATAAGTGATAGGGAGCCCCAGACAATCCCCAGTTCCCACCATCATTTAAGAATCATATGATTCAGAAGGCTTTTGTGGTAGGTAAGAAATCCTAACTCTGAAATCAGAACTCCATATTCCACAGGATTCCCTGGAAGAAAAGTCATGGAGAATGGCAGATGGCCTTATACAGTGTTCTTTCAGAAGAAAAATTAATCTTCCTGCATTTCAAGGAAGAGTTAATCTGGATGCTTCCTACTATATATTTCTGGCTGACGGTGACGTCAATGAAGGTAAAGTCCGGAAATGAATATTGAAAACTCCTTTACCAGTTTTGATAATAGTTGTTATCCCCTCCCCGAGGAAGTAATGATAGAAAGAAGGTAAAACAGCCAGCTGCAGCCAATGCAAAAGTAAAGCTCCCAATTTCTGCTTTTTATAGGGTCTTTTTTTAAAATTTGCTATGTTTATATTCTTTCACTAATCTCAAGGAAGGTACATGGCTATCTTATTTCTGTTTTATAGTAACAACAACACTGTGAATAAGGACAGACGAAGGAAGTGAAAACTGGCTGCGGGCCACCCAGCAAGTTTCTTGGCCACATGGAGATTGGAATCCAGATTTTCTGAATCCTAGTCCAGCCCTTTAATGATGACAATACACTGGGTTTTGGCTGGTACAAAGTACCTTTGCAGTGCAAACCTGGAGAGCTTAATATTTGGCAATCCTTTTGTCACGGCTTTTCCCTGCCCCATCCATAATGATTACACTGCAGATATGTATTTCCTCCCCCTGAATTTGGTAAATCTTAAATAACTTTGAAGTCCTAACTTGAAAACATGCCTACCGTTGTACAGATGGGACATATGCTGTTTGCACGTCCATGGCCTGCTTATACAGACTTCCCAAGTCAGCTTAAACCCACAGCAGGATTTTTTTTAGATTAAACTAAACTGCTTCAAATCTAGAGATAGTTTTCCTTTTGTTTTTCAAACATTCATAGCTGTTTTCCCATTGCCAAATGGGAAATTTGGAATTTAGAAATGAAACAAAAAAGTACTTGTCGATTAACAATTTACTTTAGTGGGGAGACTGATAGAATAGTTTTTACAAGACTTCAAATTAGGCAGCATTTCCCCCCTACCCCCTTCTTCCCTTTCCTACTTATGTTCAAGGAGGCCAACCACTGGCAGCAACCTCTTTAATTCCTTCTGTAGGATACTTGAAATTGTAGTTCTTTGTGAAGTTGGTCTCCTTAAACAGCCTGCCCCATCCTTCTTCCTTTGAGTATGTCGTGCTAGGTGAAATGAAACGTCTGTGTTTAAACATTTTGTATTGTTCATGTTAAAGAAGATTGCCCACTGGTTTAAGAACTGATCATACAGGGCTATTAGGTAAGAGCCTGGTCTCCTTTGATTCTCAACCGTTGTCCCAGAAATTCTTAATATTTCATTATTCTGTAACAAAACAACAACCCAGTTCCCTACTTTTCCAGCCCATGAAATCTACCTTGCTTTTGTAGGGCTACTGCTTCTCGAATCTTCAGCTAGACATAGAGGGGGCTTCTTGCGTGAAGCATCTGATCCTCTGTGCGGAAGGATTCCTTGCTCCAAAGATGTGGCGCAGTGCAGATAATTTTCACTGTTCTTTCTCTGCCTATAGTATGCAACTGTTTTTGTTTTCTTGCATAGGAGGTGCAGTCCAGAAACATGACCGGCAGCCTCTGATCACGGATGGTAAACAGAATATCACAGGCCCACCAAAGGATATTGGAGGATCCCGTTCTCCATTTCTCATCAAGATCCACGGCAAGTTTAATGACTCGGACCAAAATCCTGTTGAGGGAAATTGTGTGCTAAGAGCAATGATGCAAGCCGTTTCCCATTTTTTTCCTGGCTGTCCATCATGTGATCCATTGTGCAATCATGTTAGGCCAGGAATGTGACAGGTGCCTTGAGAAGGAGGTAGAATCACTAGTAGGATCACCCTTTACATAGCTGAATAAGGCAGTAAAGATTCTGGCCCTGTAGTTCTTCTGTGCAAGTCTGGGGTTTGTCTCTTCCTATCTGTGGACTGATAGCCTATGCACTGAAGTCCTTCTTGTGACTTCTACAGTAGGTGAATTTCCGTAGATTCCTCCAGGGACTTGATGGATTGTTTTGCCTTCAGAGATTTGAGTTCTACAGAGTTAAGCTTATCACTGAGGAGAAGGAGGTGACAGTATCACATGGAAAATAAGGGTAGGTCAACAGTGGTAGTTTCCTAAAAACCTTGTTCTCTTGGATGACTTAGTCATGGATGTCACACACCATCTGTCCTGAGATCCTTAACTTAATCTGCTGCCCTCAGGTGTAGTCTGAACTTCGAAGCAAGAAGTTATCAAGGGTATAATTGCAATTACTTGTAGCTTGGTGTTATTTTTTTAAAGGAATTTAAGGAAATTAGGGCATTAAAAAGTTGCATTTCAAAAAATAGCACAAGGAATAGGATTGATATTGGTTCAAGGGGTAACTAGTAAGATTTTCTAGTTACTTTTAAAACTGCTGTGAAGCCATTCAGTTACCCTTTAAGGCATTTTAGAGATATATGTTGGTGGGAATTTTTCAAGGTTGATGCTATTTGCTTTTCAAATCTAAAAATTTCTTAACAGAAAAGTTATTATGTTGCTTGTTCATAAAAACCTTTCTGTTCCAGGCAGAAAAATACAGTGGTGCCCCGCATAGCGAGGTTAATCCGTTCCGGATTAACCCTCGCTATGCAGAATCGTCGCTAAACGGGTAGGGAAAAGGTATTGAAACGCATTAAACTTAGTTTCATGCGTTCCAATACCTTGCTTACTTACCTGTTCAGCGAGGATTCCCCTTGCCGGCAGCCATTTTCGCGCCCTCGCTAAGCGAGGGCAGGGCGTGAAAATGGCTGCTGGCAGCCATTTCCGGGCTTCCAGCGGCCATTTTGGAGTCGCCGAACAGCTGTTCGGTGGCTCCAAAATGGCCGCCGCAATACCCGATCTTCGCAATGCGGGTTTTCCCCATTGCGAAGATCAGGTATGTTTCCGTATAGCGATCCCGAAAAAGGGATCACTATGCGGAAACATCGCTATATGGTGCATTCGCTAAGCGAGGCACCACTGTACTTGATTTTTACTTTCCTATGTTAATTTCCGTCTATACTTTTCCCATCTTGAATAATACTAATATTACTGATTTTAATTGTTGTTTTTAATTGTTTTATGATATTCCTATTGTAAGCCACCCAGAGTAGACGTGGTCTAAATGGGCAGGATACAAACAAACAAACACACAAACACACACATAGATAGATAGCTAGATAGCTAGATAGCTAGATAGATAGATAGATAGATAGATAGTTTTGCTGTTAACGCATTCTTTTTCCAGCATTTTAATGAGTCATGGCAACAGGTCACTCCTTGAACATTGTGATGGGAACAAATTAGTTTTAAAAATCAACTTCCTGTGCTCTTGGTGTAGTGGAGAAAACTATCCTATTGCGTGCTTTGCTGTAAGATTAGACTACTGTTCTATCTGCTTCTATGCTTGAAATGAGGACAGGGCATTATCTTGTTCTTTGTTCCAGGCAGAAAAATACCTTAGACCAGCCCATGGCTCTTGAATTTGGGATGGGCGGTGAGGCGGGGTGGGGAAGAGAAATATAGTGGCAGAAATACTTTATAGCCAGGGTGGGCAATTCCTAGAAATTTTGGAGGGACAGCAGAAATGCAGCTTGGAGGACTGCACCCACGCCTCCACCCTGTCCCCAGATATTTTCTTAAAACTTCTTAAAATGGAAAGAATAAGTGTGTGAATTCAACATTTGGCAAATATCCTCTAGAGGTGCTGTAGGGATTTTTTTTGGGGGGGGGAATGTAAATTGAGACATGTGGGGGTTTATTTATGTATTTGAAATATTTTTATGCCCCCTTTCTCCTAAAACAACCAAGGCAGCTTACTGTATTAAAAGAAACAAAATTAAAAGCTTAAAATAATAAATTTATTCAGTATTTAAAAAGAATTAAATATATGAAATAAAAGCTATATTAAAACCTCAAGTAAAACAGCAGAATACAATAACTGATTTTAAAAAATTCTCTTGGTCAACCTTTGGGCCCATAGGCTGCACTTTCCTCGCACTGTGTTATGGGTAAAATCTTCCCCCTGCTACCCCATATATTTGGTTTTTTTGCATGCATCACTGTTCCAAAATGCAGAGGGTGTGCAGCTCTAGGGAGCGCTTCCAGGGCAAGCTGTGGAAGATCCGTGTCTGACATTTCAAGCTAGCATAGAGAGAAAAGGAAGTGACTTGTCCCGAAGCCCATGTGCTTGCTGTTCTTTCAACATACAGACCGCCAAAGTTTGCCCTGCTTTTATGGCCATGGCTGCTCAGCACTGTAGCTCAAAACACCATTTGCAAGTGTTGTGTGTCTTCCATTCAGGTGCTTTGATGTTCGTGGCATGGATGACCACAGTGAGCATCGGTGCGATCATTGCCCGATTCTTCAAGCCTGTCTGGTCCCATTCATTGCTGTTTGGAGAAGAGATCTGGTTTCAGGTGGGAGAAAAATATATATGGTAGTCAGTCTGTAGAACAATGAATGCCTCTAGGCAAGGCTTTTATGGTGCCATCATTCTGCATCGTACAAGGAGTTCTGCGGGGTGGTGGCCCAGGTGTTGCCTTCTGCCTGCAACCTTCCCTGGTTTTCCCACTATTGCGTCCATCTTTTTTTTCCTTTACTGTGCAAAATCTGTTAGAGATTTTTCTATTTTTCGCTCCATAAGACGCACCTTTCCATAAGACACACCAATTTTTTAGGAGAAGAAAACAGGAAAATATAATCTGTTTTCTTCGCTCCATAAGACACACAGACTTTCCACCCCCCTGTTTTGTGGGGAAAAAGTGCGTCTTATGGTGCGAAAAATACGGTAGATGGCATAGCTGCCTTCCAATGGTTTGCACTAGGAACCCTCCATCTGGAAGCTCCCAGTGTCTCTTTATTCCATAGCAGCACACATGCAATAGTCGCCTTAAGTCCTTTTTCCAGTCTATTAGAGTTTTCATTCCTCTTGCTTTCTTGATAGATTAGTTTTCTGCCATGCGTTCATTGATGCTGGAACCTGGGGAGATCAGATCAGTTTGTGCAGTCTGTCAACATCACCTCTTTTTAATGTGCCTTCAACTATAGGTCCACCGTGGACTAATGATGATGACTGTGTTACTTACAAGTACATCTTTTGTCCTTCCTTTTTTGTACCGTGGAGGATGGAGTAAAGTAAGTAACATTGCTTATGTTTTGAGTACTCCTTTTGCTTAAAAACCGTGTACTGTTATGACCTCATTTAAATTTATGGCCCTCTCCCTTTTTTTAAAAAAAATCTCAACAAAATACCTTCAATTTTCTATAATGTGGTGCCACTAAATCTTTCTGTATGTTCCTGCAGTTTTGTGCTTTCATAACTATATTGCTAGGAAACATTGATTTAATTCTGGTACAAGGATTCAAAGTTCAAACTGCAGCTTTTATGAAGGATGTTTTGAAGTTTGCTGGGATGCCTGGAAGTGTATGGAAGGAGATTTTACTCTTGTTAACATGATAAGAGGAAATGAGTTACATTGCAATCTATCCCAGCTCACTGAGGGCTCAGGATATTAGGCAAAAGGGTTAACATTAGACTCTTGTAACATACTTTAATATACTTTAATATGGTGAAAGTTGGAGGAATTGGTATAGTCACAGTTTTTCTCTAACAGAAGGTTTTTCAGGACGGTCTTAGTAGTTTCTGTGAAAGACAGACACAAAAAGATTTCAGTGGGCCACATAAGTAGATGGATGTGTGTATGAGTGTGAAAATACTGTAGCCTAACCTTTTATCTGCTTCCAAAAGGTAGGCGAAATACACTCACCAGAGACTAATGTGTGTCACTGCCATTAGCGTGACACTTGGCTGAAGACAATACATAAAATGTATAAGCAACAGTTTGGTTTTGATGAATGGAAGAGATGAGGCAATGAGAAACATTAAGTCTTACATTGGGTACTATGTTGGCCCTAATTTTTAGGGGGGGAAAACCCATCTTTAGAATTTTCTAGTCCATCCAAAATTATTTCTTGGCAGTATTTTTTGCTTGTGTTTTTAATATTTTGGGCTGTTTTCACCCCACACACTGTATGGAAAACATAACTTCAAACCTGGTTTTCTAGTCACAAGAAAGTCAGGCTCCTTAAATTCTCAGGAGACAAAACAGTAACAGTTAAAACTGGTCTGTGATGTGTGATGTTGTAGCTAAATGCATGTTCATAACAAAAGCTGTCTTTTATATAGGAAGCTGGCGTTCATCCGTATCTTGGCTGCACAGTGATGGCACTGGCCGTCTTTCAGCCCCTCATGGCAGGGTTCAGACCACCTCCACAAGCACCAAGGTAATCAAGGGTTTGTACATTCAATTGTTTCCTAATTAGGTTAGTATTGCATATGGTCCTTGATGGCTCCATGATTCCCACCTCAGGTTTAAAAGCTACAGCCATAGAAAACTAGATATGTGCAGAATAAACAAAGCAGTGCCAGCCCTACCATAGACAGAGTGATGTGGCCACTAGAGGATGTTCCCAGTAGATACAGTGGTGCCTTGCATAACGAGCGCACTGTTTAACAATGAATCCGCATAACGATGCGGATTTTGTGATCGCTAATGCGATCGCATACCAATGTTTCTTCGCATTGCGAGGGGGAACAGCTGTCCGGCGGTTCGAAAATGGCTGCCGGAACACCCAAAATGGCCACCGGAACCACCCAAAATGGCCGCCGGAACACCCAAAATGGCCTCTGGAACACCCGAAATGGCTGCCGGAACACCCAAAATTCCCGCTAGAACTTGGAGAAACTTCGCAGAATGGTGAGTTTTGGGCTCATTTGGAACGCATTAAACGATGGGTTTTTTTGATCCGTTTAGCGATGTTTCCCCATAGCGAAGGTTAATCCGGAACGGATTAACCTCGCTATGCGGGGCACCACTGTACTTTTGTTTCTGTTTCAGCACGGGTTCCTTCTGGGAGGAGGGTGTGATTCTTTTCATGCACTGATACTTTTGTCTACCACCAAAGGAGGAGCCTCTTTCATGTTACTTTGGTTTTTACTTTCCCTATTCAAGGAGGCAAGGGAAGGGAGGAGAAAAAGTGGAGCTGCAAGAATGGTAAAAGTAGCAAAGCCAAAGGAGAGGGAACACCAGGCTGGTGGCTCGTGGTGGTGGCAAAAACAGGTAGTGATTCTTTCATTTGGAAAACTAAATGAATCGGACTTCAGAATGTCTCATATCAGAAATAACCAGAAGAATCTGAAAATGAAATTAAGCGTGTCTCCGCCTCCCATTAGCGTAAACCTGAAAGTCCCGTCCCTAGTGGCCACCTTGAGGCAGGGAGCAATAGAAAGATATGGGATAGTAGAGCTAGTTGTGCCATGTGGATTGCTTGAAGGCCTCTCCCTTGAATTAGTTTGCTATCTTCAGGTGTGGCGGAGAACAGAGTCCCATTGCCATTATGGAAGTAAAATTGAAATGCCAAACAAATTGCTTTTTGTATATGGAATTGAAAGAGGTACTTGGGTTTCCTCTCAGGTAGCAAAATATCTTGGGCCAGCCTTGGCCAAAGGAATTTCTGCCAACTACAACTTTTCAAAACTCCCAATTCTAGGGCAACCTTACAAGAAGATGCATTACTGTAGTAAGTTCCTCCCCTACTGTCCTTTTTTAACTATGATTTTTAAAAAGTCTGTTGATTCTTCTTTTCTCTTTTGGAAACAGAAGAGCAATATTCAACTGGTTACACTGGAGCATGGGCACCATAGTTAGAATATTAGCTGGTGAGTGAAGAATCCATTCTAGCCTTGTTTGAAGTGTTGGGATGGTAAGATGGCTGTGCGTATATGTGGAATAAGCAATGGTTCCCTTCAGCACAGTTGTAGAAAAGGCAACCTATACCTTCTGCTTATAAGAAACGCCCACACTTATGCCAAAAGTGCAGACTTTCTAAATGTAATGTCATTCTTACCTAGTGATAACAATGTTCCTTGGAATGGACTTGCCAGCTCTCGACCTTCCGGATTCATGGGATACCTATCTAATGACAGGATTTGTAGTTTGGCATGTTGGCATTGATGTTCTTCTGGAGATACATGGCTATTGTCTCATTCGCCAAGGTATAAACAATGTCACATAGTTTGTGCTTAAAACAGTGTGGTTTGCAAGAAGCAGTAAAACTTTCAACTGTATTCAGATCTTCAAGAAGTCACAGGGTTGAAAGTTTTCATTATTTTCTGACCTCTCCGTATTAGGTTTACCATTTGCTTTTGTCTCATTATATGCAGTGGTAATTGCACTGAATATCCCGGATGTACATTTTGCATGGGGAGAGAACACAGTGGACAAAAAACTTTTGTACTTAATGCTGGTGTAAGTGCAATGCCATAAACTGTGGCTGCTAATTAACAGTTTTCTCTTTGTATCCCTCATTGCACACCAGTGCATACGTCTGACATGTGATGAGGGATGCAAGCAGCAACGTGTTAAGTAGTGGTAATTCACCACTGCAGTTTTTATAGCCACTGCACTTACATTGGTGTAACTAACCAATAGGACTCTGAGTGTTGTGTTCCCAATCTTTGCTTGTATCTGTATATTCATGTGGTAGAAGTGGCTGGTGGGGTTAATTTCTAAACTGGTCCATCACAAAGTTCTTAATGGAAAAGTAGGAGGCTGTTCTTCAAGAATGTCTATCTGTTTGGGAGTTTCTATGTGCTGGGCTTTTATAAGATGGTGGTACATTCTAGGTAGCACAGGAGATTATAGCTACATGGGAATTTGAATTTTCCTCTCTAGAAGTAAGTTGAATGCTCTGTTCACACTTTTTACAACATGACATAGTCCGATAATCATGGAAATAAAAGACAATTTACTATTTAATTACTTACAGGTTTCCATATATATGTTTACTCCCTTCCTAGTTGGAAGCCAGCTTTTGATAAGCCACCGTGTACTTGTTGCACTTAGCTTGCGTGTCTTTCATTTGCAGCCAGTGCTAAATAAATGGATAGCATGATGTTTTTCCAAGTACTGAACAGAAGCTGGAGTCAGTATGGATCTATCCCATAAATTGCTTGTTTAAACTGAATTGAGACTAAGTGGTATGTGAGCAAAGTTCCATACGTGTGAACAGAAAAAACTGCCCTGTTGTAATATAATAGTAATTATGTGCCATCAAGTCAGTTCTGACTTATGGTCACCCTTTACAGGTAGAGAAGACTCAGAAGTGGTCTACTATTCCCGTCTTCTGGGGGCACCCTAGGACTGTGCAGCTTGCCCAAGGCCAAACAGGCTGGCTCTACTCACAGGAGGCACAATGGGGAATCGAACTCCTAACCTTTGGCTATGCAGGGGTAGGGCTCTATGGCCTTATAGTCCCCTTCCAACATCATTGTTCTGTGATTCTTAAACTACTGAGCTAGCCAGCCAGCTGCACTCATGTAAGGCCCTGTAAAAAAAAAGAATTATGATCCTAACCTTCACCCTACCTACCTCAAACATATTGTTGTGCATCTTATGACAGGAACAGCTATTCCAGAGCTGGTTACCACCACCAAAACAGAACATTGCATTGCCATGCTAAGGAACTGTGCTTCGTAATGCTAGTCTTTGGCCAGCTTTGAGTTGCAGCACATACTGCATTAAGGAAAGTGCTGCTTAGTGCAACTTCTTTAATGAAAACATATATGAAAATGTTTTGTTTTTAAAGTACAGAATGGATCACATAAAGACATTTCATGCAAATATATTTGACTCCCCACCACCACCCGCATCTTTCATTTGCAACAAATGGAATAAGGGCCCTGACGTTTGGTGGCTTGCTAATATGTACTTGAGTGGACAGGTATTGAACGTTGGTAGAAAAATGCGATTCAATACACAATAGCTCTGAAGAATAGAACTGTCGCTTGAAATCTTATGTTCTCCTTTGGCCTCAACTAGCATTGAACCATCCTGTCACCTATGACTATAATCTCAGTGTGGTATAAAGTGACCTTAAATTGGTCTTCAGAATTGGAACTTATACATATTCTGAAATGGAGATGGAAATAAAAAATCTTCTCCAGTAAAAGAGTGTGCAGGTTTCCCAAGATGCTATCACATCAAATGCATGTTGTTTTAGGTGGTGTATTGGTGGCTGATATTCAGTGGCAGTCAAAGCAGAGGTGCTTTAAGTGAGCCTAACATTGTGGTGCATTATGCCCACTGTCTTATCAGACTTCACATGTCCCTTTAAAAATAGCTGGGTAAATGGTCAGTCAGTAATGCATGTATATAAGTGAAAGGGAGAGACAATGTCCCTGGAGTATAATTCTGATTACAGTATACTTCTCTGTTGCAGTTGAAGTTCTGGCAGATGACAGGATACAGATTTTGCAGTCCATTAACTCTGCAGAGGCACAGGTAATGTGTGTGTGTGTGTGTTTGTGTGTGTGTTTGAGAGAGTAAGGGAAGTGGGGAGAGATGAACGTGTGATTCTTTTCTGAATATAGGGACAGCCAGAATGGGAGTTATGTAAGTGTTGACTTACCATAATTGAATGAGTCAACTCTCTTAGTAATTGGGACTACCAATAGGATTGAAGCCTGTACAATTTTCAGGGCGCAGCTAAGATACTTGCATGCTCTGTTCTTGTGGGAAACAAGCTGCGTGGAATTGTGACTAATCTACCCCTCTTTGCCCCTACTCGCCTCTTGGATTTGCTCCACTTGGAAAGCTAGCCTTTTCCTCCTTTCTACTGGGTAGCATTCTGAGCACTGTCCCGAGTCTCCAATACCTGTATTGGACACTCCAGAAGACTGGGAGAAATGCCTTGTTTCAATTAGGCCAGCATTGTTTTCAGAAAGGGGCACAGTCTCTCAGGTATTCTCTTCTGCTCTCTTTCCAGGGCCATACGTTTAAAAAAACAGTGTTGTTCATCTACATTTGTGGCAACGTGGCATTCCTCATAACCTTCCTAACTACAATTGTACAGATATGAAAAAAAAAGCTAAGAAGAACTTATGCACTGGGAATACTTGTCTGGAAACATGTCTTACTGTTGATCATACCAGGAAGAACCATCTGTGAAGGACACTCTTATTGCAACTTCAGGATTTTGAAATTCTGCACAGGACTATACGTTCTTGTCTCACATGAAGTGAACATCTGCATTCTTGGCAGTGATGACTCGGTCCTGATTGGCCCTGTCTGGGTTTTCACAATGACTAAGCACCTTGTTTCAGCATTGCCCGTTTGTACTGTGTAGCTTCACCTGTCACTGGAAGGCTAGAGGGAGAGGGTCTTGCTCTGGACAAGCTGAGCATTTTAAGGAACTGCTTAATCAAGGTCCACTTACCTCCCGCTAGCCTATTAGCTGAGCCTGCATAATCTGTGTTTGAATGTTATGGGTTTAGATTTTAAGAACAATGGCATTCAAAGGTCTTTTTGTGTTGGAACTCAAATTGAGATTGTAAATTCCTGGGTTTTAAGAAGCCTTTCAGTAACCTGCAGAGATTACAGCAGTTAAATCTGAAGACAAATTCCTTTTGAACCTTAGAAGTCGGAGGGCTCCATGTGAATGGAAACCAAATAGGTGTCACATATCAGTTGGTGCGACCACCTCCATCAGGGATGAATGATGAAACCTCATGAAAAGGAGCCAGTGAGTACATGACATAAAGCTTTCAAAGCAATACTTCAAGATATTTTAAGCTTGAGAAGCAGACTAGATGTTTAGGGTGAATGCAGTGAGCATTCGAAGAGTGATGCAAGTTGTCTGAACACCTCCACTCCTTTTGAAATGTCAAACATATTTGCATGTCTGACAGACTAGTCTCCGTCTGTTTCTACCCTGAAGATCTTTTGAAAGTAAATGATGCCTGTGCAAATTGTAATCGTCGTGCTGAAAGGGCTTTCAGGAACTATTGTCAATGTATTTGTTTAATGAACAATTGTCATTTTCTCCCTCTGGACTGAGAGACACACGATTGTATTTGTCTACTGTCAGACTGGAGTCTACCACCAGAGCTGCTGTCCCTCCTCCTGCTGCTATCAGGGTCTCTTAAGAAAAGACTTATTTTGTGTGGCAGTGGAACTCCCACTTGTAGAACCCTAAATGTAGTTTCATAGGAAGGAAATGGCCAGTTTCCACTGTCTCTACACTTTGTTGTTGCCATGCTGATCACTGGATTTCTTGATCACCTTTTATTGCTCTTGGGACTGATCTTGTTGGTTACCTTCACGTCTAACTGCTTTCATTGATTGCCACACTCCTTAAAAATGAAGTGTGAGAGACCATTTCATGTTGTGTGTTTATAGTAGTGCATTACATTCCAGTACTTAATATTTTATCCTATTATGAAAGAATGACTTGTCTAAATTAAAAGATTTGTGTATTGTACAAGTTACTTGTGAATGAGTCATTTTTTAAAAAGTAGCATTTTATAATAGCTGTGTTTTCCTGGAACAGACTAATGGTTTGTAAATGTATGTGACCAAAGGATGTAGCTGCTAACTCTCTTAACACTTGGTGGTCTTTTGGTTGTTTATTGCAAATATACTGACAGAAAAAGTGTGATAAATTATTACGACGCACCCAAAGCACAAATGGTTGCTCTTAAATTCCCGTGGCCTGATATTTGCACAAAGCTACTCCGATTTCCGAACATTAAATCTGATCAGTATACGGATCTGTATTCCACTTGGATCTAGGAGCAGCAACAGCATCCATGAATTGGTATCTTAAGGCAGCCAAATGCAGCTGTTTGGATCATCTGTAAAATCTTAGGAAGTTCATAGTTCTTTAGGGAGGGGAATCCTATCCATCATCAGATTAGCTGTTATGGAGAGCTCTTAGAGCCTGCACTGTTTCTAAATGTCGGCGTCATGGCTGTGATTAGGAAGTGTCTCTAGCAGCTTTTGATAACATACCAAGAAGGGTAACAGCCCAATCTTGTGCCCTGCATCTGTTGCTGGGCTGCAGCTTCCATTAGCCAGGGCTGATGAGAACTACAGTCCGACAACATCTGAAGGATTTTGCCAGTCATTTTGCTTCCTTGAATGTGAACATGCTTAGGTATTGTAAGTTGTGCCTGGAAGCTAATGGAGCAGGACTTCTATTCCTGCCTATATTTCTTTCTGTTAGGATTGAGGACAGAAACCTGAAAGCTAGGTTCTACATAGATTTTAGCTGTTATGCTAGGTATGGCCTTAGCTTAACATGGAGATCTGACACAACTTGAAGTGCTTTTAATTGAGTAATTCTGGAGAGCCTGAATGTTAAGGCCGAATCTATGGATGAGTCTGATGACAAACCAGATACTCTGGAACAGAAATTATTTCTTCCACTTCTAATATTATATGGCAAAAGTAAATAAAAATGGAAGGTATATAAAATGAATACATTCATCCATGGCAATAAACTATGTGCCTTAAGTGTTCTTACTACTTTAATAAGCAAGTCCATCACCTCCCATAAGGTGTATTGTTGGTACAGTTCAACAGGATAAACTCTCTGTCAAAGTAATATTTCTTTGACTCCTTGTTCTTGTGTTGGGAAAAGGCAGTGCTGCCATGCTTGTTGTTATTTTCACATACAACTTCCAGGTGTGCAGCTGGGCCGAGCCTCGGGAATGGCACTTCTACTATTGAGCCACTGTGTGGTGCTCTTGCTTGGGTTTTTTAGCAAGTCATTGAAACACTGGTACTTGTTTGAAGAAATGAAGCATAAGGAGTTAAGAAACTTAGCTCAGGAGCATTGGAAAAAATGTGGCCACTGGTACATTAAAATATACATACCATCTGTGGATGTTGCCCACCATTGCTCTAAGGTGAGAAGGATAGGGTAAACTTTGGTCAAAACAAAGCAAAAGGCAAATACTGTGATGTGTTCCACTGATGTGCTCCAGTGTACAACTGGATATGTGACTAGTTTATGGAAATGTTACACTTTACAATCTCCTAGGAAACCACATTTATGCATTCTTGTCGTGTTTGTTCCGGTTCAGAGAATAGACAATGTTAATTCACCAAATCTTTCTAGATGTAATCGTGTTCATAACATTGGATCCTAAGTTCCTGTAACCCATCATAACAATGAGAATTTCCAATAAATGCTAACAGCAATTCTTGAATGTACTCAATGTATTAAATCCTCATTGCTTAGAATGAATATCTGGAGGGTAAACCCTTATGTTGCACTGCTTTTCCATTCACTTCCATATAAAGTGCCATTATTCCCATGTATATATACATATACATATATATGAATAAGCAAAAGCCACCCAAGTCCAATAAGTAGAAAGTTCTTCTTTTGCTTTGTCTCATGCTGCCAGAGACTTAGTTTTATACCACTGCAGCTCTTAAATTACCTTTTTCCCCAGTTTTGCCATTCTCATTCTTAGAGCTGTAAAACAGAAAAAGGAAAATTCAGAATGAATATTATGAGTATCATTCCTCCATTGTTTCTAATTTTTTAAAGACATAAACTTACCTCATATAATTAAGGTAGGTTCCAGACAAAATACTAATTAATTTTAGTAAGTAGAAGTTATTAATGGACTGTAAGATTACATAGCTCAAGCAGGCCACAGACAAAGAGGATCTTCTGGATAGGTAATGTCATGATACCTAAATTTTAACTTAAATGCATAACTGAATATAAAGAATTTGCTTTTTCATTTCCAACGCCAGCACTATAAAAGCAGTAGACACTGTATTGTGGAATTCACTTTTAAAAATTCAAATTGAAATCTGGTTCTACTCCACCCTGAACAGGTGCAGACTTGAGTGTTAAGAGTGTCAAATGGACTAATACAAAGTTTTGAACATGGTTATTATCCACTGCCTTATTTCTTTAGTATTCCAGCACACTTAAGACCAATCAGGGTTTTCGTCTGCTTAAGGTAGAACGATCATCTTTATTGTTTTTGTTAAAATAAAAACCTTTGTCAGTCTGCAGGGGTTTATTGTTCGCTAGTGCTGACTAATTCTTATGTTACAACGCCAAAATCTGAAAACCAGAACAGAGTGCAGTGCTGAACTTCAGAGATGATGACTGGAGAATCTCAGGGCAGAAACAGATGTATATAGCCCATGATTAGAACTCAAGGCATGATAATGTTACAGAAAATAGATTCAGGGAGATGTCTGGAGAAATGAGACTTCTCATGCTTATATCTTGACTGTGTGAAGTAGGGGGTGGGGACACCGACTTCTGCTATGTAGTCACTTCCAGCAGTTCAGGAAAATTGACTTTCCAAGTTATGGGCTATCTGTAAAGACTGTTTCTGAGATATGTATTCGTGAAGGCTTTCACGGCCGGGATCTAATGGTTGTTGTAGGTTTTTCGGGCTCTTTGGACGTGTTATGAGTGCTGTCCTCTGAAGATGCCGGCCACAGAGACTGGCGAAATGTTAGGAAGAACAACCTTCAGAACACGGCCAAAGAGCCCGAAAAACCCACAACAACCATGTTTCTGAGATATTTTGGGACTCAAATTCCCATCTGGTCCAGCCTGCGTTTTGGATTGTAACGGATCATATGAATGGCAGTTCAACAATACTTGGAGGGCCACCGTTTCCCCCAGCTCTGGTTTAGAAGAGACCACTCCTTTTCATACTGGCCGGTTCACACTTTTGCCTCCCTTACTTGGAACAAAAGTTGTTCCCAGATATACATTTTAATTTCCGAGAACTTTTGGCTCTTTCCTCCTGCAGTGCAAAGGTATGTAAGGAATACTTCACAGGCTCTTATTCCTGCTATAAATGTGGCAGAGTGGCACTGCTTTCTGTAGTTTGAGTAGGCTAAAGTTTGCTAGAACATGCTGAGGGAAGGGCTCTATTCCCTTCACAAATAGCCCTTTGTATATTGCTACCTTGGTTACAGCAGGTCTTCCTGGCTTTGTTTCCCTTTCAGAACAAAAAGGGATAATCATGAGACTGTTTTAGAAAATTACTCATTTCCTTTCATTCTCTACTTACTAGGTATGTAGTGAGGCTGGCTAACAATGGGAACTGCAGGAGGAGACCAAAGCAAGGACAAGTCAACACAGGGGATACTAATTTTTTGCAAGGAATTATCTTGCTGCTGCCTAGCTTGTACCGTATTTATTTTAGTACCATTATTCTAGTAGAGAGAAATGAGATGCAACTTCTACTGCAGGGAGAAAATGCTTCATGTGGTGTATCTTATTAAATTACTCAACAAAGCTTCCATAAATACCCATTTCTGATGAACAAAGCCACTACACTCAAACGCACAGATCAACATAGACAACCCGTTTGATGTAGTGTTGATCTAGAACCTGGAAAACTTCAGAAGGACGGCCACATGAACAGAAGAACAAAGTGCTGGTGTCTTTAACAGTTTCTTGGCAGAGGGAATTTCAGCAGAGCGTGACTATTAAAAACAGTGGCTACCATAACACTCCACCACGAAAACTCACATTTTCTCAGTGTGCTCTACTTTTCAGGGTTAATGTGAAGATAAAATGAGGAAGGAGAGAGAGAAAGAGAGAGAGAGAGAGAGAGTCTTCAGCTCACTGGAGTAAAATCAGTTGAGAAATTTAATAAATAAATAACATAGATCCCCTGTGTATGTTAATGAAAAAGGAGAAACTGGAGGCTAGGGATCCAGAGGGAATCTGTTCTGATGGACTTTGTTTTTGTTTTTGGTGGCCTTTGCCTAGTCTGCGATTCTTGGATTGTCTACAACCTGGATAGCCTTTGTCTCCTAGAGCACTGGTTCTTAACCTTGGGTTACTCAGGAGCTTTGGACTGCAACTCCCAGAAGCCTTCACCACCAACTGTGCTGGCTGGGGTTTCTGGGAGTTGCAGTTCAAAAACATCAGAGTAACAAAGGTTAAGAACCACTGTCCTAGAGGATGCACATTAATGGACAACTATGGTTGTGTTGGGGGGAGGGGAATGGCTGTTGAAAAAAGTGTGTGTAACTGGTTCATGGTGAATTGTTATTCTTTTTGGCATCATTCCATTTGTTGGAGGGAACAACGTAGGAAAGAAGATGAGTCAAAGAGCATTGGGTCTAAAACTGCCCCAAAATTCATTGTGACACCAGGGATTCTAATAGTTGACATTTCACAAGCATTCAGTAGTTATCACCTGCCAGCCCAAAACATTTTGCTGCCTGAGGCAAGGGATGAAGCACTCTTCATTCCATGTACAAAAATCTCACTGACTGGGAGTCTGGAGAAACATTTAAGTGTAGTAAGTGTTCTTGTTTTAAGTATTCATGCTGCAATTCCTGAGGCTTACTTTAAGACAAAACACACCTTGCCTTGAAAATCTGAGCATCTGCTAGGCTCCTGTTGTGTTTTTGAAAAATAAAGTATGCCTGAAACTGAGCCTATAATTTAAACATGCATAACAGCAACAAACATATTTTAGATTATGGGAGACATTCATACAAAAATATGTCTTTCAGAGAAAATGTGTAAGTAAATGTGTACATTATGGAACATGTTCATGGAAAATGTGCACACATTTCCTGTGGAACAGCAAAACAGGAATTTTGTAACCTGATTCAGACACAGGATGGAACAGGACTTTAGGTGGAAATTTGAAGAAATGTAACAGAAGCACCTCAGGGGTGTGTGTGTTGCTGCCCACCCAGCACCTGCTATCCAAGGGACATGTCTCCCTTTGCCTAATAGAAAGACTGGGGGATGCAAAAAGTACATACAATTTCTGTACCCAACAGCTTCTAGCATGCTGCAGGAATGTTAGCAAGCTCACTTAAATTCAAAGTGTATTTGAAGTAAAAACATCTGACATTCTGATGTTGACTAATTTTTCTGTGAGCCTACTGACTTTTGATAATGGAACTTATTTTCAGTTGGGCCTATGTAGGATGGCAGTATTTTTAGATGAAAGAAACTGAAGTACACTGCTCAAAATCAAAATACATATGATTTCACCTTGAAATCAGGTCTATAGGTTGTAATTCATTCTGGTAAAGGGCAGTTTTACATTCCCCTCAGCACAGCTTTAACCAGCTGTTTGCACCCAGTTACAGCATAAATATGAATTAAAAAGCTATTTATGTTCATATCTGTTGTGTGTGCTTCCAAGAACAAGATTCTAAAGAAAAGGTTTACACCATGGAGAAAAGTGAAAGATTTCATGCAAACAGGTTAGGAAACAAGACGTTTTTATTCAAGATAGATTGACAGCCTGAGGTTAAGAGACAGACAAAAGAATTTGATTTTAGTCACATGGTATTAGAAACACACACACACACACACATACAGCCATCCAAATAAAACAGGCTAAGAAAAGATATCAAAACTTGCATAAAGATATTTTAAGTGAAGTGGGCACCATTATGTTAAGGTTAAAGCCAAATAAACCTGTTTAACCGGTGTTTCTCTGTTAAGGTGCAAGGTACATTATACAGTACAAAGTCAGAAGCGTAGAGGCACAATTGAATTCCAAAAGCTGAGTTCTGAATCATCCATATAATAGAAAGAAATGCTAGCGTTTACTACCAAAATGCAACCTGAATGTATTTTTCTCAAATGCCGCAGGCATGAAGAGACAATATTTTGGTAATCAGTGTTTTCAAAATGCACTTGAAAGAGAAAAGTCCACATTTTGATTTCCGCCACCACCTTCACTTTCATCTGACTTCAGGAAGCTTCAAAAAAGTCACTACCTTCTGCACTCCAAGTACTATAATTCCTAACTAGCATGTCATTAAAAGATTAAAGGAAAGCATTAGAATATAAAAACCAAGGAGGAAATAAGCTAGAAATTGTGTTGTTAGTAATACGTGTAAGGTGACAAAACAAGACTAGGAGAAGCAAGAAACAAGAGTAGCCAGCCTCTTACATGAGAGAACAACAGCGTTGTGACTTTCTTGGTTTTTTACCTGTTAAGGAAGGATCTTCAGTTCCATCACCTGCTAACTGGCTGTCAAGTTGGCCATTGTAGGTAGAACAGCTCAGACTTTCTTCTTGTTCCTTGAGTGATATGGAATTTTTGTAGGGTGACTTGTTTATATTGTCACTGTCAGTTTTGCTAGAGTTTGCCTGTGTTACTGCACCTGCTGGGTTGGGAGGTTGGTAGATTTGGCTATAAGGACCCACTGGGTGATACAAAGGCATTTCAGCTTTGGTGTCTTCTTTGGTGTCCTCTTCTTCTCCATCGTCATCAATGACAACAAGTTCTGCATGAATAAGCCCATCGTACCCACATACAGCTTTATTTAGTTCTTCATCATCCACATGCTGATATCCCATAAAAATCATTGTAACAGGTTCGGTATCATCCACATAACATGGCACAGCATGGACCACACTATAACTGGAGTCTTCATCACTTTTTATCATCACAGGAGAAGGACTTTTTTGAGTGTCTAGGGAGTTTCTGGATATTAGATCTTGCTGGTTCTCTCTCATCTTTTGATGTGGTTCAACAACCTCTTGTATAACTTCTCTTTGTACATTAGGTGCCATCTTATTTTGGGGACTTAATTGTGGAGACCTTTCTGTCTGTTGAAGAACTGGTGAATGAGAATTCTGCTGACGGCTCTGAGAAATATCTAGACCATTTCCCTCTATTTGTTGAGGTTTGCCTTTATTATGGGCAGGTTCATTGTAAAAAACATCGTGGCTATTAACTTGAGTTTGAATAGCACCTTTGTCTCCAATTGGCCCATGGGCCACCTTATCCTTCAGGGGAGTTGCCGGTCTGCAAAACTCGTTTGCGTACACTGGCTCGTGATATTCAGTGGGAGACTTGGACTGTTTTTCGGTTGCTTGCCTTAAAAGATCTTCTACTTCAACAGGTGCAAGACCATCGGGCTCGCTGTTTTTTATGCTTCCGTTGGCACACACTGCGTAGATAGATTTTCTGCCATCATCATACACTTTCACTCCTGCGCCTGTAAATTCCTCCGAAGGAAGTGGAATTGTTGACAAAACTGTGCTTTCTCCAGTCTTCATGTCTTTTTCAACTTTAATTTCCATAGCAAACAGGGCTATATGGGAAGAAACAGAGATTTCTTTTAAAGGTACTGTATGTGTGATACAGAGGCTAAAGAGATGTGTTAGACTTAATGAGTTTATCAATAACATTGCTACATCTCTATGTTGGAACATGGTGCATGTACTCTTAGTTCCCTCTCTTTTTTAAACTGCCGGTTGTCCTCCCCATACTGAAATAGCCACTGCACCACCAATCCCACACATCTCTTTCCATGGAAACAAAGAATATGGAGAGACCATGTGCTCGCCTGCAGGTGTTGCCTTTAACCCCACTCCCTCCCAGTCATCCTGATCAAGATTGTGATTCCCCACTGCTAACAGCAGCAGGTTAAGATTAATCTTGAAGCCTGCCATTCAGCTGACACTCACCCAGCTGAACATCAGAGGAAAAAATGGAACAGACGCTACAGGCTGTGTAGAAAAGTATTCAAAAAATGAAGGGGTGTGAGTCTGTGGGCTTTTGTTGTGTATCTGTTGTGCAGACAGTGCCAAACTAGATGTGTTTATATGAAATGGTTACCAGCAGGAAATACTGATCTGAATCTGTTTATGTGTGTATCGGTGTGCTTCTCTCTATGTCTCTCTCTCTGATGTAACTTTGTTTAAATACTTGCTTCATTTCACAGCTTTAAAATTGTTTCAGGCATAGTCCTTTGGAATTCTGTGCTGTATTCTTTTCCTCAATTGCATTGTTGAACTGTACCTTTCCGGTTTTCTTCATCATTCTCTGTTTCGAGATGCCTTGTCCTTTTAAGTGCAGAAGGTCTGAAAGATTTTGGAAGGTCAGGTATGTTGGCGTATATGTAGTCAGCTGGCTCTATGAAAAAAGTCCACTGTCAGTATATATAGTTCATTCTGTTGGTGTTTCGCAGAAATAATTTTAAATTCTATGCTTTGAGTAAACATACCTTGTCTAGTCTCTATTCTTTCCACCTTCACAGACTGAAAAAAACACAAAAAACAAAATAAAATAGCAACAAACATTTGTGTGGTTTTTATCAAGTAACTTAAAGAAAATATGATTGATTTATTGCAAACTGATTATTGCTCGTAAAAGCTAGAATGACGAATCTTTGGCTCTTCATCTGTTTTGCAAAACAGTTCCCACAGTCCCTTATTACTGATCATGCTGGATGAGGCTGATGGGAGTTGCAAGCAAAAATACGAGGAGGGCTGTAAGTCTTCCACCCCTGGTGTAAAGCATTCAGATACAGTGCACGTCTATCCTATATGTCCCATTGAATTCTGTTATTCCCAAGTCAGGATGCGACTATACAGCAAAGGAAATGCAAATTCACTCGCTGCAAAGTTGCGCTGGGGGATTCAGGTTTCTCCAAGTCAGTTCAAATTAATCAGGGAACCCTGGGCTGATTCACATTTCCCTTTGCATTATGTGGTCAGCAGAACTGGATTGTATAAGGATCACACATCTTTGTTTTTGCTGTGCTCTATCACTGAACCCCCTTTTTAAAAAGAAAAAAATGCTTACATATCTACTTTTCTTTGATTCATAATTGGCAGATTGTTGGGAAGTTGGGACCAGATGACCCATTGAAACAGAAGCAAAGTGTCAATATTTGAGCTTTAAAACTTATCCCAGTACTGACCACTGGAAGGCCATTTAGATATACAAGGACTGCCCCTGTTTCTGCATTCTGTCATTGTGATGCAGTTGGTATGTGTCTCTTGTATCTGCATAGGGCTCACCTGTCTTTCTACCAAGAGGGGAGGCTTTGCAGAAAACAAAAATACTAGGAAAAAAAAATCTTCCAATTTATTTTGTTTATTTCTGCTCAGCCAATCAGAAATTACCCAGTTACTAGAGTCTGACCTCCTTGGGAAAATCAAGCATCTCCCCTTTTCCATTTAGGGCAGTGGTTCCCAACCTTTGCCCACCCCCCACCCCAGATGTTTTTGGATTGCAACTCCCAGGAATCTTCACCACTAACTGTGCTAGAAAGGGTTTAGAGCAGTGGTGGTGAACCTTTTTGGGCCTGAGTGCCCAAACTGGAAAGAAAAAAACAACAACCTGGTGGGCAGCGGGAGCGAAACTGGAAGTGGTGGCAGAAAGGGGAATTCTGGGCACAGAGGTTCCTTAAGACCCCACTCCGGATCTGCCGGCAGCGCCAGCCGGTCCAGATCCTGGCCCGCTGCCTGTCGAAGTGCCAGCACCGTGGCTGCAGCCACCTCCTGAGGTTTAGCTGCGGGGGGGAGTAGCGATCTGGCGACTTATGGGTCGCATGCCCGCAGAAAGGGCTATGCATGCCAGCTGTGGCACACATGCCATAAATTCGCCATCTCCTGGTTTAGGGGACTGATCTTTTAATCTCTTGTGTAGCAAATATGACTGATCACTTTATTTGTTACTCCTGGCCTTTTGGTTATGGCTTTGCCTCTCCTACCATGTCCTGAATTAGACTCAAGGAGCAAGCAAGGGCAGTGCCTGTTCTCCAGCCTAGCCACTGCACAAAAGTCCTACAGGGCTACGTGGCTTTCAGTACATATTGTGAGGTTTGCTGTGTTTATTCAGGCTTTCTCTAAAGAGCAAATAAACGCTAAGCACATTTTTATTTCCTGACTTTAGAGAGCAGCAGGGCACAGAAGAATTTCCCCCATATGTCCTTCTGACTGTCTGCAACCATAGACATAGTTAATAATTAATATGAGACTGTTTTACACTAGAAAAGAAAACTTGCAATTCAAGGATCAAAGTACAACTATATCAGTCAGAACCTGAATGTTTCAAAATTTATATATATATATACATATATACATGCATATACATCTATACATATACATACACACACACAATTTTTTATATATATATGAATAGAATTTGGACGTTTCAGAAAGAACTTGGATTTAAAATTCCCAGAATCCCCCAACCAGTACATCAATATAGGTTTAAAAGTATAAATGCTGGAAAACTAATTCCAGTTTATAGAGCTAGGGAGAGTGGTAGGACACAGAATCCCTACTAATTATATTAACCTTGATTTTGATAGATTTGTCTTTGCAATCTCAAGTGACCTGAGGTTTTAGTCACTTTTTTTGTTTCCACCGCTGTGCAACTTACACCTTATTCTCCCTTTCATCCCAGCATTTTTATACCACTCAAAATCAATAGTCAGTGGTAAGATTTTAAAATTAGCCTCTGACCTTTATAATATCTTCAGTGGTCCTTTCAACTGATTTAAGCTTCTTCAGGATGGCCTTCTCTTTAGCTGAAATGGTCAGTTCTTTTTTCTCAAGATCCTCAATTTCTTTCTCGAGTCTGCAGAAGGAATAATGTATAGCAATACCACCTATAATTATGATACCGTATAATAACGAAGTCATAACTAGCAATTTTAGCACACCTAGTGCTTTGCTGTCCTGCTAGTTAACTCTGTTTTCGATGAAACACAAGAGAGACACACAGGGGAAAAACAGGAACACAGAGGAAAGTCTGGGGCTGGCAGTGCGTCGGCCATATTAGTTCTATGTTGAAACTGCCTGTTTTGTGTTTTTTTATGCCTGGGAAGGAATTTGTAGAGGTATTTAGAGTAAGTAGATTTACACCCTTTCAACATCAAATACCAATGGGAGAAGTTGTGATGCAGTGGTTAAACTGCTGTGCTGCTGCCAAAATTCTGCTCATGGTCTGGATTCAATCCCAGGTAGCTAACTCAAGGTTCCCTCAGCCTTCCATCCTTCTGAGATTGGTAAACTGAGTACCCAGCTTGTGGGGGAGCATGTGTAGCCTGCATTATTTAAATTGTCAACAGCCCAGACAGTGTTTTAAGTGTTATGGGGCAGTATATAAGCAGCACACTTTGCTTTGTGTGCCATTACAGCAGCAAATCTATATTTTGAGACCCTAGACAAATCCCCAGTCATCTTATCCTATTTATTTATTTGTTTGTTAGTTAGTTATGACTCTGATAATAGGTGCACTGTAATCTCCTACAGCTAGACCTCACCCAAAGCATTCTGTTTCCTGAAAAGAAGAACTAGATGTTCTACTTCTACTCCTATTCCTACTATACCAGCAGCAGAGAGGATACTTTTAAAAGAATCTCCCCAATGCTTTTGAAAGAGTTGTTGTGAAAGGCAGTACAGTAGGACCTCCCTATCTACAGGATCATCATTCACTGATTCACTTACTGTACGCTTTCTGACTTACAGTAGATTGTAACAGGGGTTTGATTACATTAGCAGGCCCCAAAACATGGACTGGGGAAATGCAAAGAGTGGATAGATAACAAAGGGACATTAAGACAAAACTGGATTCATATTCTCTATAATTATTTTCCCTCCTACCATAGATTTTCTGAAGAAATGTATCCCCCAGCAATCAGACTTGCATGTTAAGGCTATGTTTAACCTTCCACATGCCCAATCATGAAATAAGGTTTGCTAAATGCAACATACATGGGTGATGAAAACTATGTGCTATGTGCTATGACAGTCTCTCAACACCTAATGGAAACTTCTGCAAAATATATGATTAATGTGTCAAGTAGTTTGACCCTAAGACACACCCTACTTTATGTCCCATTAAAGCACAAAGCAATGAAGAAATGGGGTGTGCGTAGAAGAGGTCCATTCCATTTTAGACTTGGTATGGTCTCCTTCTGTAATATTAGCATTATTACAACAGCCTTAGAGAATACATTATTACAACAATGTATTCGCGAAGGCTTTCACGGCCGGGATCTAATGGTTGTTGTGGGTTTTTCGGGCTTCTTGGCCGTGTTCTGAAAGTGGTTCTTCCTAATGTTTTGCCAGTCTCTTTGGCCGTCATCTTCATCTGGTTAGGAAGAACCACTTTCAGAACACGGCCAAGAGGCCGAAAAACCCACAACAACCATTATTACAACAGTTTGACATTTAAAAAATTCCTTCAGCAAATTGCAGTAAGGTTTCTCAGAGCTGATGGAATTACTTTAATTTAGCTTGAAGAAGAGTGCTTGTTTTTAGCTGCCAAAATGAATCTGGGAATGGATGATTTGAGTGTTTTTTAAAAAATTATTCACGTTTGCATTTTTGATCTAATTGTATTGCAGAATTAGTACTAGCTCCTATTACCATATTTAAAACGTGCTAGCAGAGTACACAATATGCTAAAATCACTGCTAAGGAAAGTAGCATTTTCTGGCCTCTGTTCCACTGTAGAGCATCTCATTTAGCACATGATTATCTCTGTCTAGAAGTGAATGGGATCGCTCTTGGCAGGCAACCTTTCTCAGTTTAATACTGATGACATTTTGTTGTGAATCTGTTGACATCCATTCTGTTAAAAGCTGGAGGGACATTTGAGGGTTTGCATCAAAATGGAATGCTCCTGGAGGAGACAGTGATTTGAACAGGAAAGGTCACAAACAAAATGAGAAATAATGAGCAGAGAAACAGCAAAGTGGTCCAATTGCATTTAAAAGGCAATCTTCTGATATATAAGCTTTCCTTTGCTTGCAGGGGAAAGAAACAGATTGCAGGAGTAGGAAAACCAGTGGCCTTCAGAAATTTTGTACTACTATTGTATTTCTGTTATCTCTAACCATTAAACATACTGATTAGGCTTTACAGGAGCAAAGACCTCAGTAAGTCCTTAAAATGTACATTTGGAAATACCATGAATGTAAGTAAGAAATTTAGTTTCTACTTGTAGTATCAGAATCTACTGATAAGAGACTCCTACAGGATTTATAGATTGTGCATATACACACAGTAGAGAAAATGAATTTGTTTTAGAATATCATCAATAACAGATCAAATGTTATATTTAGTGTGATTGCCTCTGATGGGATTTTATGCTTATAGGTATTGGCTTCTAAAGAATTCTGTTTAAAATAAAAAATAAAAAACCACCCCCAAACCATTTAGGGGACATTTTAATGTGACCACAGAGGATTTTGACTGATCTCCTTGTGTCTTCCTTAGTAACATTAGAAAAGGTTGATTTTGATGCTTAAACCATGCTCCCAAATCCTTTTTACTCACAGCTTGCCATTCTGAAAGACCTTTGTCAATTATGTGAATATTATGGTACTCTTGCCACAGAGTATTCAAATTTTGATTGAAAACAACAAAGAAAGTAATCAATTTCTGATTTAATTCCCTCCAAATTGAAAACTGAGTTTTATTAGAATATACTGTATGTTAACACTTAGCAATCACAATAAAAATCCATTGTGAGAAGGCTCATCCAGATGCATTATTTGTTTCCCCATATGGCCTCACTAGTATACTGATGATGTTGGTATTTTTTCCATTGTCCGCCAAATTGGTACCAACAAAGAGTGACAGTGACAAAGAGGTTTTTTTTAAAAAAAATCTCCTTTGGGTGTTTTTCCCTTCTGATTTACTCTTGTACTGGATGTAAAGTTTAGATGGCAAGAGCTTCTTGGACTGAAAGCTTTCAGTTTAGTGCTAATGCACTAAAACAGCAACAACATCTAGCAGAGAAGATGCTTTAAAAAGAAAGTTTCCTACATTTTTGAAAGCGTCGGAAAACTTTCAAAGGTTCACTGACATCACATCCCGTCAGTGTCACCATGTATGTGGGTGATGACATTGTGGTGTATGGTACTGCTGCACTTTCTTGTAAAAATCCATGTCAAACATTCCTCTAAGATTTCAGACAGAAGTTTCTTATATAGAGAGATGGAGGAGACTAAAATGTCATTTACATGTCCAAATCAGCAGTTGCTATTTTATTCTGCACATGGTTGATATTTTCTCATGTTTAGAAAACATGATGAAATATCAACCATCTGCAGGATATTTGGGTTGTGTTATTTTAAAATAAGGTGTTCTTTCAAAGAAGGCAGTAGTTGAAACAGTAGAATACAAATACAGTAGCTGGCCCCAGAGATATTAATCACCCTATTATGAACAGAAATTTGTCCTGATCACCAAGCTTTTTGTGAAGGAGTAATAGAAGAAGTGTTATACCTGAGGATATTTTCCTCCAGCTCATTCATTTGTTGTTGATCCTCTTGGTTCTGATTTTGCATTTCTTCTCGTTCTTTTGGAGTAAACGTGTCTAATCCATCCAAGAGCCATTTCTCACGCAGAGCTTTTTTCTAAACAGATACAACAAATTTGTGTAAATTTCCCAAGCCTAGTTTCCTTCATTGCAGACCTGACACAAATTACTAATAGACAGAGAGGCATTGCTTGCAGTCTACTGAACAATCAACCTGTAGCAGTAGTGTATCATCATCAGATGTTCTCCTCAGTGACATCATTCCTACATTTAATGACATATGAAATAAGCCATGTAACAGCTCCTTATCTTTCTTTTTCTTCTAATGGGGGAAAAATTGGACAGGTATAGTTTCAGAAATTTCTTCTAGCCTTCTATGGTGGCACCAGATGAAGTGTATCTAGTTGAAGTATCTGGATAAAGAGGATGCCATATGGTGTAGTAGGGAGAGGGAGAATGTAAAACAGGCCTCAAACCTTTCATGGATTAGCATGGCTAAGGATGCCTAAAGCATGCTATCCTTAAGAATTCTGATATGAACTGAACTGGCTTGATAAGTTCCACCACGATCAGCAACCAGCTTTTGGGATCTCTATCATACTTCTGATTGGAATTCTAAAGGGTAAGAGGGATTTTGAGGGAGGAAGGAGCCTGTAGCATGTTTCCGAATGTTCCAGTCTGGTTAGATTAGGAAAGTTACATCTGTGTAGTGCCCCAAAATGATGAGCACAAATAATGAATGGGGAAAAGAGGTGGAGACTCATCTAGGGTTTGTGAAAACTGTGATATTAATGAAGAGAACATATATATATATATTTGGGGTTTGATCGCTAGAGAGCACATGTTATGATCCATGAATGGATTGCTTTTGAAAATAATTTGTCCTTTGACGTTTCTTCGGTGACTGAACTATTTTGATTGAAAAGTTTTATATTGGACTGGTTGATGTCCTGAAATAGCAGCATGATTAACTTATGATCTTCCTCACCCACACTTAGAAGCTAGTTTTAGAAGAGGTAGCTGTGTTAGTCTGTGCTAGCATATCAGGCAATATCGAAAGAAAAATAAAAAATAAAGAAGACAAAAATATTGTGGCACCTTAAAGACTAACTGCTATATTTTAATGTGAGCTTTCATGGACAAATCCAGTTGTTCAGATGTTGAAGCTAGTGCTTGCTGCTGCAGTCAACCAGTGATAAGTCACCATGCTTGAATCACCTTTCTAGATTTTATTTTTAAAGGGAAGAGCAAACAGCTGAACATTCAGAAAACTCTTAAATTAGAACACGAAGCAACTGATAACTACTTATTGCATGCAATACTACAAAGTTGCATTAGGGGCAATAGGTACTGGGTTTTTATTTCTGTTTTCAGATGTATTGCAATTAGCAGCCTTCCCCAACCTAGCACCTCTCTTTAAAAATATCTATAGCCAATGGTGGTACAAATTGGGCTTAATGGGAGTCAAAGTTCAATGTAGCTTTACTTTCTTATGACCAATGATGGGGAATCTTTGGCCCTTCAATTATTTTGGCCTTAAATCCTCAGAGGCCCCAGCCACCATGGGCAATGATAAGGGTTGTAACCTCAAACATTTAGGGAGCCAAATAAACATGCTGTTTTAATGCAGGAATTTCTAATAATTATGCCAGCACATTGTAAGTTAGCTAGTAAGTTGAGTTTATGAGTGTGAGTTAGGATTGATCACTCAACATGCTCCTGAAAAGATAAAAGGGGGGGGGGGAAGATGTTTACTCATTGAAGAAGTCCATTCAGTAAAAGATGATAGGGGAAAAAATGATGTTTACTCATTGAAGAAGTCCATTCAGGACAAAACAGAATAAAGGTTAGATTTGAATACAAAACCCCAAGAACTGACTTCCGTTTATGCGCATTTGCTGAAGACCAGCATGTAGGCACCTTCTAGACTGGCCCTCCATAGCAGATAAAGAAGAACAAACAACCCATTATTTCCTAAAGGAAGGGGAAGTGACCCAATAAAGAAGTGGCCTAAGGGCAACAACCTACAAGAGAGGCCACAATGCCCAATCCTATCTGTCTATTTACAGTATCTACCTATCACCTTCTCTCTGCAATTTATCTTAAGTGCCCAATCCCATCTGGCTATTTATCTAGCTATCACCTTCTCTCTGCAATTTATCTTAATATGTATGCACAGACTTCTTATATGCCAAAGCAATTTATGGTTTATTACACCAAACAGCACCCACTAACAGTGTGATGTGATAAGACTTTCAGAATGGCTTGAATAACAGACTATTGCATCTGCTGTGCGTGGTCCACATTCCTCCCTATCACGGGTACGGAAGCTGTAGCAGGAACCTCTGTCATCAAGACCCCATGCATGCTTGGGATGCCACAGATGTGTCAGCTAGTCAGAAACAATTCCCATAATGCTTGTGTGGCAGCGAACCATTCCAGAAGCTGGAGTAAATCTTGCGTAAGGCTTGACATATGTAGCCCACTGGAAATGTATTTTAAGGAACATTTATGGATTAAAAGAAATAAAAAGCTTTATTTTTTATAACTGAAAACAATTTCTTCTGTTGATCTCAAAGTAATGGTAAACAAGAAAACTTTTGGGTGGCACTTAGTAAGTCACAAGCATATTTTTCTGTGAAAGGAAGAGGGGATAAAAGAAAGGAGGAACAAAGGGTTTCTAAAATATACATTGATATTCTGTCTCTGTGTCTCTGTGTCACACGAAGACCTAATGTCTCATAATCTAATACTTCCCTCCCACAGCAACTCTCTCTCTCTCTCTCTCTCCCCCCCCCCCACATCAACTGTGTGTGTGTGTGGGGGGGAGAGAGAGAGAGAGAGAGACTGCATTGGTTTCATCTGAGACTTTTCTTCTTCTTTGAATTTCATATGTAGGAATTTCTGGACAGAAGTATTGGTGTCATCTGAGACTTTTTTTTCTTCTTTGACTTTCATATGTAGGAATTTCTGGACAGAAGTGGCTAGGGTGTGGGCGATTAAAGTTCCCTTCTGCTTGTATGACACCCTTGATCCAGACTGGGCTCTGCACACTGACTTTGGAGAAAATAATTTTAAAAAGTGGGAGTGACATTAATGTAACTTAATTAATGTAAGAGGTTATTTGACCTTAAAGTTAGTGCAACAGCCACAGCTAGACCTAATGTCAGGCAGAGTGAGGTGGCCATCTCAAGCAACAGGTCCAGGTCACTGTGAAAGGGCATCATACTCTCATTTATTCAACTTCTTGTTTTATTTTCATTGCCAAGCTTGAGGAGAAGCAGATGTGGATTTTCCTCCTTTGTTGAGGGGATACCTTGGCTGGTTTATGGAATGATGCAAGGGGTGGGGAGCAGGATACCATTTGCTTCTCTGCCTTGGCCAACAAGTTGTCTTTCAATAGCCTTGTGTGAATGAGTCCTAAATGAGAAGGAATTGAAATGTATGGCTTTCTGATACAATATTATCCTTCTGGATAGATGAAGCACCTGAGAATGCTCAAGGGGATAGTTGTTTGAACATGTTCCTGTGTCCAATACAGGGGTTACGGACATATGAAGGAGGCACATTAAATCAGAAACTTTCTCCTGCATTACTATTCTACATGCTAGAAGAATTTGTCAGAGATTCTGTCTGTAAGAAGCCAAATACAGTACTGCATCCATTCTAAGAGGGCTACAATCCCATTAAAGTATTGAAGGATACAATTGTTTGTTACTGTGTTGTTCATTTCTTTAAAATACTTGGAAGCACAGTTTTGGCACATTGTTTCTGAGGTTTTTTTAAAGGGTTCCTCTAGTACTGTACTACAATTGTTATCTTATTTTGAGCACCTGTTTCCTGCACTGGATTCTTTTCATTCCTCAGAACTTAAAAACAGTCTCCCCAAACCCCATGCATTCCAGGTATTTTTGAGTGCAACTCCCATTATCCCTGGCCTATAGTATCTGGGGCTAATAGGACCCATAGTCTCAAACACCTGGAGGCTGCCAGCTTGGAGAAGGCTACTTGGTTGCCTCCTTGCTTACTGCGTATATCATGATTAGAGACAGAGGAAAGGGGCCGTGTAGGGTCTCCCTTATGTATCTAGGCAGAATTGCTAGTAAAAATATGCATGTGCTTGGGTGTGTGTGAGTACAGTGGGGTCTTGACTTAAGAACGCCTTGAGTTAAGAACATTTTGACTTAAGAACCACTCTCATAGGAAAATATTGACTTGACTTACATACTTAGATTTGAGTTAAGAACTAAAAAAAAAACCACGTGGGAGGCAGGGAAAGTGCAAAATTTGAACTTTCAGTTAACTGTTGGCCAGTGAAAAGGGTGCCTGTCTGCTTCCTCACTCCTCCCAGCGTTTAGACTGTTTCCTGCACTGGATTCTTTTCATTCCTCAGAACTTAAAAACAGTCTCCCCAAACCCCATGCATTCCAGGTATTTTTGAGTGCAACTCCCATTATCCCTGGCCTATAGTATCTGGGGCTAATAGGACCCATAGTCTCAAACACCTGGAGGCTGCCAGCTTGGAGAAGGCTACTTGGTTGCCTCCTTGCTTACTGCGTATATCATGATTAGAGACAGAGGAAAGGGGCCGTGTAGGGTCTCCCTTATGTATCTAGGCAGAATTGCTAGTAAAAATATGCATGTGCTTGGGAGTGTGAGTATAGTTTAAATGACGAATGTGTTGCCTTGTCTGAGGCCTATTTTTCACTTTCTTTCAGGCATCTCCCGCTCATCGCTAGCCACCTTGGTGCTACCTCCTCTGCCAGCCCATTTCCCCCACAAGTCCAGGTCTGGAAGTGAGCTGAGAAACAATTTTGAAAAGCATGCTGCATTTGCTAGGCAAGCAAAGGACTTGATCTTCATGCCTGTTCTGAGTTACTCTGAAGGTGTTCAGAATTGTAGTATTCTGAAGCAGTTGCATAGCAACTGGCACTTCAGGCTCTTCTGCTCACAGATTGGGGGAAGGTTGCTATGAAGGCCTGCAGTCTAAGTGCAGTATGAAGCTGCTTCATCAGACCTGGGGTATCCTAATAGCTGGTTTGAAAATGCTGTTCAGTAGCAGGCCTCTTGTCGCCTTACATTCATTGTTAACACTAG